TTATGTTTGTGTACCATGGTGACTTTCTTGTGTTTATACTTTGACTGTAGTCTATTCTATGCTGGACATATGTTTTTAACTCTGTGATGATATGTGCGGGCTTAGGCCCATAGCCCTCGTGCAGTCTTTACAAGACTGTGTACGTTGAGACCCTTCATCACACCTTAGACTGTGTTAGACTTACCCTGGTGTGTTTAGACCCATTTGGTCAAATTTTCTCTCAATCATCAGTGTATAACTGTGGATTACATTCATCGGACTCCCTAAATTCTTCCTATATTTGTCTTTAAACATGTGTTCTTCCTACTTACTTTTTGTCCATTCCATGTGTAGATTTTAATCTTCTCTTATTCCATCCTTTGGGGCCTCTCAGTTGCACACAACCTCATTTGGGCTTCACATGCCCTGCATACTGTATAGGAATGGCTTGTGGCCCCCAAAGTACCTTTCTTCCAAATTTACAGTCCAGGGCCTGCACGGTCTTAGGACTTGTTCATTACCCGCAGGGTAACTAGCATTCATTCAATCAGGTCGTTTATACATTTGAAACCTTGTGCTAAAGTGCTCAGTTCCAAATTGAAGTAAGAGGTATCAATCTACAGTGTGATGACCTCAAATTATAAAACACAGTAGGTTTTTCTCTCAAATTATTACTCATTAGTTTCCATTAGCATATTCTGATCTATCTGATAAAAAAATTAAAAAAATTATATGAAGGAGATGGAGTGTATGTATCCTCTGCTTTGCAAACTTCACTGTTGCAGAGTTATAAAGGATTGAGGTTCACATCTTCTTGGGCGGCATAACAGGCTTATTGGCACATGATGGCTAACTTTAGGTGTGCAATGTGTAAAACAATCCCCTTCTTGCATAGTTGTGACTGAGTGGATTTTTCCCATTAAAACTGATATAACGGAACTTTTTCTTCTAATCGATCTTCCATGGACAAGTTTGTGTAGCAGTGGCATTTTCAATGTCAGAAAACAACAAGGAATTCTGTCAATTTACATACCAGTTGTCACCTGGTCGTAAACCAAGCTCTACATGGTCTAATGACTGTTGCTGCACCTCCTTATTTATTATCCCCCGCCCCGACAAAGTTGGCGGGGGATAAAGAAATGGGTTCCGTCTGTGCGTGCGTGCGTGCGTGCGTGCGTGCGTGCGTGCGGCGTGCGTGCGTGCGTGCGTGCGTGTGCGTGCGTGTGTGCGTCCCGAAATCGTTTCGAGAGCATAACTCAGAAACCGTTAAATATTTCTCTACGAAACTTTGCATGTCTATCAGACTCATGCTGAACTGGTGCCTTTTGCTATTTAGGAATTTTATAAATTTTTATTTTTTACGTTTCCATGGCAACAAGTTGGACTTAGGTTCTATAAGGGTGGTGTTCATTTCGGGAGCGTAACTCAAAAACCATTAAACTCTTTCTTACAAAACTTTGCATGTCTACTAGGCACATACTGAACTGGTGCCTTTTGCTATTTAGGAGTTTTATAAATGTTTATTTTAGAATTTCCATTGCAGCTATTTTGACATGGCCTAAGAGAAATGTTGGGTCAGTTACCTGGTTTGGGACCATAATGTGTTAAAATGGCGGGGTATATAGATGACTTTGTTTGCTATACTTGTTTTCCTTATATCAGAAAGCACAATTCTGTTAGCTCACCAGGCCATACCATTCTCCTGGCTAGCAAGGGGAGGTTGTCCACGCATCTCATTTAACAGCCTTGGTGCTATCAAGTGTATCTATCGATCTTGTACTGACTTTCTTCTGGTGTTAATGAGTTAAACTTACTGGCTAGGGTAAATTATCTTATCATTTAACTAAAGCATTTATCGATGACATAAGCATATGAAATAAAAACATGTATGTCATACCCCAATGACATAAGTATGCAAATTAGATATGCAAATTAGATAACCGGAAGTGGGACTTTTTTCACCGGTGCACGTGAGTAGGTGTTTACAAACAACATGGATACCTTTGATGTTGGAGACAATGTTTTAATAGATCGAAGGGGAAGTGCTCCAGTGATATCCGTGTTGACAAATGGATATAACAGGTTGATGGTACGGAATTTGAATTTGACTGTGATGAAGGCAGATTATAAAAACTTCCTTGTGGCCAACGTTTCATCATCGAAATGCCATCATCGAGCATGGCGAAGTAGACGATGAACACATAGCCGAAAGATGCCTATGGTAGATTTGTGGCTGTTGAGGACGGCATGATCGATGGTGTGATCCTAGACAATCAAAACAAAAACAGCCAAGAAAACTTTGTAAGATTTGAAACTGTTTGATAACTTTCTAAAAGTCCAAAATGAAATTCGCCATTTGCATGAAATCCCCCCTCAAACGAACTGGACACACTTCTCTGCAAGTTTTTCATTTAGTGTAAAACAAATTGGAAAAATGTGAACCAAACAGTCTCACAGATTTCAGAGCAGCATCGAGAGATCACTGAAAAATGGCTTTTCACTCACGTCATCATTAGAATTTTTGCGATCACAGGAAGTATTAAAGGGGAGAAAATTGTACTATAGAAAGAAGGGCGTGGCAACTTACCAAGGAGAGACGACCCGATTGGTGATGAAGAGAGTCCCTGTCCCAGTTTGGATCTATTGGAATCAGTAATCCAATGAGCTAATAAACTGTCTATGGCTCTACAACACAATCCATTTTGGGTTAAGAGCTGTCACTGATCACTACAACATGTGTTGGGGGGACATCACTTTGCATGTTGATGGAGACGATCACGAATATCTTGAACTGTTTGAAAAGAATGGGTCCGGTGAGAATCCTCATGATTGTCGTGATGTAAGGCCCAAAATGTGGTCTAATATTGCTGATCCCTCTCGGTGCCCTGTGCAGGTGTATAAGTTGTATCCCTCCATGCATCCACTCTACTTCTGTCGAGATGACAATCCTTTTCACATTGACACACACACATTAGGCATGCCTAAACCTGGCTATCAGTAGTTTATCCGCTATCAAATTGTGAAAAACAAACTTTCCTCTCTCATGAAAAACATTTGCGATGCTGCCAGTCTCCAAACATCGAAACGACTCACAAATCACTCTGCATGCAAACACCTTTTGCAAAAGTTGAATGACAACAGCGTTCCGCCAAATTAAATAATGCAGATAACAGGCCACAAAAACATCCATTACTGCCATATTAATCCTGACCAGCACAAGCAAATATCCAACAAAATTTCACGAAACACTCCATCCCACACTATGACATCCCAGCTTGTTGATGAAACTCCCGTCATGCAGAGTGGCCCCTTGCGTAATGTCCAAATCTACAGTAGACAACACAGTCAGCAGGCTCAAATAAATGTTTCTGGTGGTGTTAACACTGTGTTTGCTGGCAGCATGACTGGTGGAAACATAACCATTAATCATGTTAAACCTCCGAGCCCGGTCCCAGGCAAAATACGCCAGATTGTCATTGAAAGTGATAATGACACCGACTAATGCATCTACTCTGACCTCTAGTCCATGAGACATTCTTCAAGCGAGAGAGCTGTTTGATTTGAAACTATATATAAGTGAAGTTACACCAGAGAAATTATCAGATTACACAGAATCATTGTTGTTACCGTCATTGAGGTTTCAATTATTCTTCAAAAGTCTGTTCAAGTATTTTGTTTAAAATAATCTGAGGAACTTTTTTTCTCAGCAAAAGGAATATGCCATAAAGGAGTTAAGAGGTTGTATATTTTGGTTCACAGTAATTTCACACGGCTATGGAATCCTGTATCGCTACGCACAATCTATACGTAAAATTTTGACAAGTTGCTGATGTTAATGTTAATGCATTTATTCCTTAAAAGGGAAGCAAAAATTTGATTTTTAATATGGGAAATATCAACGTCATCCCGTTAATCGTTATTTGCCTCGTCAAAGGCTATATATATATACCCCTTTTTCTTGTAATCCATGAATTACCAATTTCCCTGGGATTGTCAAGTAAGGTCGAGTTACTCTTTAGGTCAAATATCTGTTTATTGTTATGCGTCTCGAAACTCTGTAGGTCAAGTACCCATACTTTCTGGAAGTCTAGTATTTCCTTGCTCATTCCGAGCGACTTTAGTCTACAAGGCTATATTTTTATTAAATTAACTCCCAGGTGTTAATTAAGCCAGCTTAATTGGCTGTTTAAGCATCTTGTTGATTGTCTTGTCAGATTGGGGGGGCATGGGTGGCCCAGTCGTCTAAGGCGCAGCGATTCGCTGTGCAGAGTTGCGTCCCTTTGGCACGCCAGAAACCTATGATTGTGGGTTCGAATCCCGGTTCGTCCCGATTATGTTTCTAGGTTTGTCAGCACCATACCCATGCTCGTGGCTTTCACCGAAGTGATAAACGTCTGAGACCTGCATCACTTTCCTCCCACATTAAGCTGACACGCCGTGATATGACTGGAATACTGTTAAAAGCGGCGTTAAACCAGACTCACTCACTCACTCTTGTCAGATTGTTTGGCTATCTTTTGAAATAGCTGTTATACTGTTGCTTAGATAGTCAGCTTGTACATCTGTCCCTTTATTCTGTCCCTTATAAATATATATATATATACTGTACATGTATCATGAAATCAATACGTCACCAGATTGATGAGTGTTGATCCCTAGCCTAAAATGCAGCATGAAATTAATGCACTCGTTGTAGCTCTGCCTTTAACTATAAAAGCTAATCAGCAAACAATAATACCAAGACTGTAGACTGATACAGTATGAGGTGTTAACAGCATTGAATATCACTTGCTTTCTACACAAACTTAACTTCAACTGCTTTTCATGAAAATATCAAGATAGAAATGTGTCACTTTATTAATGTGAGCAAAGAACACTCGCATTGATTTCCTGCTCGCATTTATTTCATTATTTACAGTATATGTTTTTTAGAAAATTTATTCGTTTTGTCTTGATAGTAATTTTCTGTAATTTTCTGCTTTGTCTGACTATGTTTCATTGTTTTGATGATATATCTTCAGATACGACATGCAAGTGTAGAGCGGTTACTTGAGCGACTCACTGATCTCCGATTTTTGAGTATTGATTTTCTGAACACCTTTCTCCTGACGTACCGTGTGTTTACAACAGGGCACACACTGTTGGAATCTTTGAAGAAGGTCTACAAGAATCCTGACACGGGTAATCAAGAGACAGGAGCAATGTACGTATACTAGTCAGAACCTTGGCATTTACTTCTTACATCCTAAAATCTCACAAATTGGAAGTAAAAGTAAAGTTTGTTTCTTCCTATTGAATCTGTTTAGCAGTTTCATTTGTGGAAAAGATTCAGAATAGGTCATCAGAAAACTAACTTTTATCAGTCCTTTGTCTCTCCGTCATCCATCCATCATCACTCAATACCATATCTTTTGACTTTTTCTCCAAATAAAGGGATGAGACTAAGATTTGTTTCATAGCGTTAGAATAACGATTTTAGTATGCTTAGAAACATCAAATTATGCAAAGTACTAAGGACTTTTCTTCTAAGAAACTTACAAAAAGTATAGGAATCTGAAACAATGAAATGATGTGAATTGACACAAGGCTATTCAGATTTGTTTTAACCAGCAAAATTAATGATAACTCGCAAATTAAAATGATATATGTAACAGTCCATCCAGTCACTTCCTCACCTAAGACATGTAGAGACGTAGCCAAGCTAAAACAGTTGCACCTGAATATTTGATTAGTGGTGATTGTTAGTTTGAAAAGCAACAATTGTTCATTCTGCAACAAAGACTCATGGAAGGTAATGAAAAATATGCCTGGAAACAATTGTGTATTGTCATGGTTTTGTCCAACTTCCTGAGGCAAGGGAGTTAACTGACTATAAAAGTCCAGTTTCCACCCTTGCAAAACTAGGAATTTCTTTCCCTGATTGTAGCCCCACTGATGGCTATTACAAGTTATGTCCCTTCAATATCCCTCTGATCAATCAGATTCCACCTCTCAAATCATTTGCATTTGGTCCAAACAAAATGGTAGTGCCCAGTCATGACGATCCGATCGATAATGAAAATCTATATTGTGATAAAACAGGTCTTACTTCGTGAAGTGCATCAAATGATGTGAGCACCCTGATTAAAAACATGAACAGATTTGGAAAATATCTGTTGACATTGAGTTGGCCGTACACATGCTTTGCAAATCCTGTAATCGGTCGCAAATCTGCACGGATGTCGATATGGTTACGCGATTTTGATGGGACTATGCATAGACTCATTAGTCCAGCCAAAATATAACTCCATAATTCCAGCTTAGTTTGGCAAGGATGGAAACTGGACTTATACAGTCAACAGGAAGACAACCACTGGCTTACCCCTATGATGTCACAGCTGGCGAAAGTTGATAGCTCTGGCAATGGATGTGACTTATGTATGTGAGCTAAGCCAATAGTCTTTACTTATATATAAGTCACATTATAATCATCATTTCATGTTGTGTTCATTACATGTTGTCTGTGTTTGTATGTCAACAAACTAACAACTTCAACCTTGATCCCTTTTGCTGTGTCTGTGATTTCTCAAGTTTCACATGGACTTTCCCTATCTGTTTTCAGATATGTCCACCACTTCACATTACTGTTTAGCATCTTGACTTCCTTTGACACCTGTCAGATGCAACCTGTCCCTTTGGTCCACTTCTCTAAACTTCCTTTCTCACCTGCCCTCCTCATGCATTCTGCATGAACTCTTATGGAGGGAGGTACTCTGTTTCCAGGGGAGAAACAATTCAGTACCCTATATTACCGTACATAAGCTGAACTTATAGTTAAGCAGAGGTATTAACTTGGTCCTTGAAATCTGTATCAAAATGCTCTGTGCAGTATATAACCCGGACCACCAACCTAAAGTCTTTTTGTCATGAGCCATCATCGGAAATAGAATATCAACAATCTGTATTGAATTATGCAAGTTAATCCTATTGTTACACTCTGAAAACTGATAATATTTACAAATGAGAAGTACATGAAACTCATCCTCAACATAGCCTTCATTACAATAACGGCATAAGCTACTTTCTTTATCCTGTACATTTTTCTTTCTGAGATTATTAACATTAAAATTATGTAAGGATATAAGTAATTTACACAAAGATCTTCTCAAAGTTCTATCCTGAAGTTCAGATACATATTTTTCAGGAACAAGTAATGATTTTATATTCGTATAATGGCATAAAAACCTTGAGGATGATATTTGACAGTGCCAATCTTGTGAAAATAAACTGACGTCCAAAAGAAACTTTACCAACTGAAAATATAAATTTCAGACAAAGTATAATTTTTTTTCCCATGAAGTCTATCTAAAACAAATAACCTAAATGAAACAATAGTGTATGCAGAAAATGTTAATCGTCTGTTACATGATTGCGAGATAACACGCGAAAAAGTGTAAAACACGTGCACCATTGACAACTGCAAATGCACGTGCGGGTAAGGGTATAAAACGATTGCAACGGCAAGTCAGACATCCACAGTGATAAAAAAACACAAAAGAAATGCCACGACTTACAGTCGAACAACGTGAATGAGCCTTGGGTATGGTACAGATGGGAGCCACCCACGCCCATATTGCACAAACCTTCGGTTGCTCCTGTGTTGTCGTTACCAACTTGATGCAACATTACAGACAGACAGGGCGGACCACTGACAGGCCAAGAACAGGCAGACCCAGGGTGACCACGCCCTATGATGACCGGTACTTGCGTACCTTGCACCTCAGAATCTGCTTCCTGACAGTGACGTCATCGGCGACAAATGCCTTAGGTCACAGGGTTAGTCGACAGACAGTGGCCAGGAGACTCAGGGCTCATGGAATCAGGGCTTTTAGACCATACAGAGGACAGCTATTGACAGCGCAACATCATAGTCTGCGATTGAGATGGGCCCGGACTGTACGACGTTGGCAACAACGTGACTGGCAGAGGGTTGTCTTCACTGACGAAAGTCGATTCTGTATGTTTAGCGCTGATGGAAGACAACGTGTTTACCGCTGAAGGGGTGAACGAACGGTGATGTGTTGTGTGCAGGAGGTCGTACCATATGGTGGAGGGAGTGTCATGGTGTGGGGAGGGATCTGTGGGCATGAGAGGACACCGCTGGTCATCGTTGACGGAAACTTGACAGCTCAGCGTTACATGGATAACATTCTTCGTTCAGTTGTTCTACCATTTCTCCAACAGCAGCCACGTGGTGTCATTTATCAGCATGACAACGCTAGAGCCCATACAGCCAGAATTGTCACTAACTTCCTCGCAGCCAGCAACGGCAACGTCCTGCCGTGGCCTGCACGCTCACCCGACATGTCCCACATAGAACACCTCTGGGACTTGATGGATCGTCGTGTTCGACAACGACCACACTCTCCAGCCAACCGGCAAGAACTGATCTTGGCCCTCCAAGAAGAATGGCGTCAAATCCCACGTGACCTCATCAGACGACTGACTTTTTCTGTGTGTCGAAGAGTTTTTGCGTGTATTGAGGCATTTGGTGGTCACACACACTACTAATGACTTGTTATTGAACGTGAGCGATTGTTTATGTACTCCGCCTATTGTCCATGATTCTGAAAGCTCGAGTTTTGTACCACACCCAACTTTGGGGGGCTCTGACGTCATTCTCGGTCGCGGTATGATTGTCATTTTCAGTGTTGATTATGTTGATATATTGATCTTCTCAATACACTTTACTTCATGCATGTATGTTTTGTTGTTTTTGAGCAAGAGTGATTTCAAACTCTGGTAAAGTTTCTTTTGGATGTCTGTTTATATCAAGTAATCTTTGCTTGAGCAAGAAGATAAATAATTTATCATTTCCAACATCCATGCAAGAGAAAAACCAGACATACAAAGAATATTCCTGATATCAGACACCCATAAACAATATTTACCCTTTTCATCCAAGGCTTTTAACATATTATAACAATGAAGAGAAAATCTATTTGAATTCATACGAAGTAGCTTTATCCAATATTTAACTGCCCGTAGCTGGGATGAAACAAAAAGACTTGTACGACCAGTTTCTCCTAGAATGGCTTTGTTAGAGGCATATTAACCGACACCTAAAAAACGTTTAAAGTACATGGCATGAATGTTTTCTATGGAATCATTATATTGACATCCCCATATTTCTGAACCATACAGAAGAATTGGTGCTATTTTTCTGTCAAAAATGTCCGAAACAACTCGGAAAGATAAAAATTTGTTTTCTTTAAAAACTCTATAGACAGGAATCAAGGCTTTAGATGCTTGCAGACCCAACTGCTTCCATGCTGTTGACCATGATAATAGAGAAGATACAGTCAATCCTAGATATTTATAATATGAAACAATATTTACTGTCTTATTAATTTGTCCATTTTTCAAATTTATTTAAAATACCACCTTTTCTGAAAGCAATAACATTTGTCTTTTTCAAATTTACTTCAAGGCCCCATTTCTCACAATATAGCTGGAGAACATTTAACTGTTTCTGGAGGCCACTAACTGAAAATGATAATAAAGCAACATCTTCAGCAAATAGTAACAGCATTATATCAATTATATCTTGTGACACAAAGACCCCGTAATCACATTCATGATACATTTCAGTTACAAGTTCATTTATGAAAAATATAAATAGGACAGGGCTGAGTACACAGCCCTGTCTTACACCAGCTGAAGTTCTGAAACATTCAGTGATTCCTTTATCTGTCTTGATACATGCCTTAACTGATGAGTACATGCTCTGTAGAATTTTTGACAATTTGCCAATTAATAAAAGCCTTTTTGAAATCGATAAAGGCACAATAAAAATGGCCCTTGGGTTTACATATTTTGTACACAAAGATTGAAGAATAAATATATTGTCTGATGGAGAATAGTTGGGTCTAAATCCAGCTTGGGATTCTGATAACAGGTCATTCACATCTAACCATGTTCTAATACGTTTTTCAATCACAACAGAAAACAATTTGCCAGTCACATTTAAGAGAGAAATACCTCGATAGTTGTTTGGATCAGATATGTTTCCAGATTTATGTAGAGAAATAATCATTCCTATATTTCAGGAATCTGGAAAAACACCAGTATCTAGAATTTTATTAAAAAGCTGCTTAAGATAAGGGTTTATGAAATTTGTTATACTTTTCAGATATTCAGGGGGTATACCATCCTCATCGGCTG